AAAATGTTGTAACCTACCAAAGTCATGGTAAGCTTTGTGTTGCTGTTTCACGAGTGAACACTAAGCCATCATTAAAAATATTATTTCTATATGATAATATAATCTCTTACACCCATAACCAACATGTTGTATATACGGAAGTCTTTAAAAAAGTTATAAATAAAAAATATGTAGCCAAGTATACTTTCAATTCCTCAACTATTATTTTTCGTATTGGTGTTTATTGTATTAAATTTTCAAATTTTTAAAAATATTGCATATACTGAAGTCTTTAAAATCTTTCTCTATTCTAGACAAAATATTTCATTGAAAAAAAATCAAAACTAACAAAAAATATGTTCGTCCCCGTGCACACACTGAAGTCTTCAAAATCTTTTTTTATTCTAGACAAAATATTTCATTGAAAAAAAAAATCAGAACTGACAAAAAATTTGTTCGTACCCGTGCCACCCCGTGCGTGGCACGAGTCAAAGTTCTAGTAGTATATAAATATTCATTGTACCTTGAAAAACTTTCACTTTCGCATGTTGTTGAAGGGATTAACCCGATCAAATGGCGGACCAAGAACGCTATATGGATCAGAAAGATATAATCACTCAATAATATTCTTTTATTAAGTGTAGTATTACTTGATGTTCTCCCTCCCTTTACAATGGTGGGTGCTCCTCCCTTTTATAGTACTTCTAATATTGTAATTAAAATTATACAAAATGGGAGGAATTATGGAGATCATGGGGTGGTGACTCCCTCTTTTCCGGTCTCGTTCTCTTCCCCTCTCGTCCACAACTCAATGATGTGGGCCACCCGTCCCACTCCTTCCTTGGACTGGGTCATATTGATTTAACCCATGATTGGGCCGTCTTCTTCCATCTGCCACACGCGTAGCAACGGGCTCGACCCATTACCCCGCCTGGCCTTATTCGACTCGCGCTATTATGGGCCCTTATTGGGCCTGGAGTTGGGTCCATCAGACCCGGTATCCATCACAAGCCCCCTAGTTTTCTGGCGACGTGTCGCTAGAAAACTAATGATGAGCCGCCTTCGATTTTCGTGTCGGATTAGAAACGTCGCACTCGAGTGTCTTGGGTCCCTCCTTTCAACGGATATAACCCCTTCTGGACTCGTCTTCTTCCTCTCTTGCTTCTGATTCTTAACCCGACCCAAATTCCGACTGCAATTTCCCCAAATTTTCGCTCCCCTCTTCAAAATGGCTCCTGCAAATCCCAAAACCTGGACCCACGAACCCTCTATCATCAAGGAGGAAGATCTTCGAGAAGTGGACGTGCTTCTGGGCAAGGGTTTCTAGGTCCACCATCCCGATGCCGTCGGAGGGATTAGCCTATCCCACAATCCAAACCCTCAGAAGTATATGGTCATGCAATATCACTCTGTGGAAAATGGGTTCAGGTTGGCCCTCTATGGTCTGCTTCGCGACATCTACCGCCATTTCGGATTCGCTTCGGGCCAATTGACTGCCAACGCGCACAAGTATGTCGCGTCTTACATCTTGCGGTGCTGTGCCCTGGAGAGAACCCCAACATTGGACGAATTCCTTATCCTCTTCCGTATCGGTGGGTCTTTCCCTTTTTACAGCCTGTATCCTCATCCCCGTGCCCCAATTTTTTAGAGGGTTGAGTTTAAGAACGACAAATGGTCCTACCGCTACTTCGTCATTGAGTTCCCAGCTCACAGTCCCTTAGATCTGTCGAGTGTTGTCCTTCGTAGTTCTATTTCCCGGACGAAGTTCGTTGCAGGACACTTGGCAGAAGAAGTGTACAACACCTTGAGAGAGAAAGGGGGTTTGATTCTACACCACTCTCTTCAAGACGCCAAGTTGTACAGGAAAGCGGATTTTTACTATCCCCTGGGTCCTGACCCGATTCCATTTGACGGGGAGCCTTCCCCTGAAATACAGAATGCTCCTCCTGCCGTAGAGTCCAACCCAGCCATGAGCTCTTCCGGGAACCAGTCCAAGGTAACTCCACTGCCTTGGCTATATGCAAGCCGGCTGCTGCCCTGGAGGCTGTTCCCATCTCTGCCATTCCCGGGCTTAGGAGGCCCATTCCGTCCCAGAAACGGCCACGGGAAGGAGTCACTGATGATGATTTCCTTCCCAAGAAAGGTAAGGGTGACGGTACTTCTGCTTCACCCAGCCCCCTGTCTATGTCTTCCGGTACCCAGCACACCATTCCTGCTGCCGCTCCGGGGGTTTGGAGCTACCCCACCCGGACAGCTTAGATTGTGAGGGAGACAAACTTCGGGACCAGTCAGCGCTCAAGAGACCTGGAGTGCAGCCTCAGCCTGAGGTGATCAATACCTCCCCTCACATTGCAACTACTCCCCAAGTAGTGGAGGAAGAAGGTGAGGGGCAGAAAGAACCGGAGTTATCTCCTGCAGCAGAGAAGGAGGTTGAGGTGCAGAAAGAATTGGACGCCTCCTCCACGATGGAGAACGAAGCTGGAGAGCAAAAAAGTGCTGAAGCTCTTCTAGAGACGGAGAGAGAGACTGAGTTACAGCGGGAGTCGGGGTTACAG